TATATATCTTCTGCTATTCATTATCTTTCTTTACGGTTTCTCCCAAACGTTGATATCTTTAAACTTCTATAACTTTCTAACGAAAAGTCTGATTGTAAAAATGTGTTCACTATTGTAAAGAGAATACAAAATGCAAGATTCAAGATTCTTTATTTGTGTCCTTTTGGAAAATCAGTTGGTACATCACATCGCAAAACAAAATGTAGTAGTCAGTATAAATAATAAATAGCTAGTAGTGGAGGAAATAAATTATAACTAGGCCATAAAACTTATTTGATATTTTGATTAAGCATTCTAATGGAAAGTGATAAGTATAATAATAATAAAACTACATTTATATAGCGCCTAATGGATCACAGATTCCTCTAGGCGCATGGTAGAGAACTATCTCCTGCCGGACACTAACCTGGTATTTCTGAGTCGAGGTTTTACAAGGAATTACAAGATTGGGCAAGACAAAAATCACTTAAATAATTATGGTAAAAAAACTATCCCCCGCCAGACACCATCCCGGTCTAAGTCGAGGTTCGTGTCAAACTCTTCTTTGTGAGAGTTTCTCTGTTGTGAGCAGGAAAACGATATAAACATATATTATCATTAAGGTCATAAATGGTTATTAAAAACTGTTTGACATAATTTGCCATCTATCCATATATAATTCATACCCACTCATTCTTACTTACTTACTTCTTACTTCAGCCTGTCAGTGGTGCTAGCCTCTCTCTCCATTTTTGTCTGTCTAACATCTCACCGCTATTTCTTAATTCTTGGAAGGTGGGCATGTTATTCCTATTAAAAGTATCTTTAATTGTGTCTATCCATCGTTTCCTCGGTCGTCCTCTTGGTCTTTTCCCACACGGTGTCCAGTTCCAGCATCTCTTAGCTACTCTACTATCATCCATTCTCTCTAAATGACCAAGCCATCTTAACTGAGCTGCTTCAATTTTATTGCGAATGGGCGTCACACCAACCTGCCTTCGGATCTCCTCATTTTTAATTTTGTCCCGTCTGGTCTTATTGGTAATAACCCTGAGGGGTCTCATTTCTGAGGCTTGTATCCTATATCCATATCCACTGGTCTTTTTGTGTAGAGCTACCGTATGTTTTTAGAATATGAGTATGGGGACTCCGAAAAATGACAAACCGCCCAGTGAGGCCATAATTGATTCTACGTTTCGTTCTTTATTAGAACGTTCTTGACAATGTTCCAATAAAGAAGAACGAAACGTAAAATCAATTGAAAACCGATATTGTCAACTAATAGTGTCATAAAATCCATTAATTTAATTTGTAACGTGCTTATTACTTTTCAGAGCACTTTACGAAAATTATTTGCTACCATTTACATGCACAAGGCCATTGATACTGCACCTCGGTGATTAATGGAGCTATATAAATGTCATAATATAATAATAAGATGATTTTATTAAGTTTTATAATTTGTAGAAGGTAACATATGTAGGCCTATAAATTATTAGTATTTAGCCTAGTGGTAGTAGTTCAGCGGTGGCGCCAGAAACCGAGAAGGGTTCCGACATGTCCGTGCATTTAGAACACAATATTAGAGATTGCTAATCAAAATGCCCGTAGCGTGACTTAATTTGTGAGAGGTTCGTTTCAGTGGAAAGTGGACCCTTTGGCTTGTATGATCTCCGATATTCTGGTGAACATATATCTACGAATAGGCCTATCAATTTTTCGTTTTTAAATACGGACCTTCTCCAGTTTTTGGGCGGTTCGTCGTAACCCCCTTAACCCCCCACGCTATGGGCCTGCAAAATAACGTTATTTGGATAGGGAAATTATTATTTTTTTAAATTTTTGATCCGACTACCTAGTCGTGCCTTGGACAACAGGAGGGTTCAGGCCTGTACGACCGACGCTCCTGACCCACTCCCATTGGCGTCACCACTGAGTTTGCAGTGGTGGTACTACAGTAGTAAGCAGTAGCAGCCTAGCAGTAACAATGTAGCAGATGTACTAGCAGTATGTAGCAGTAGCAGCAGTATAACCGAGTATGCCATCATATAACAAACTAGTTCTGAATGTTGTTTTTTCCAGATTTCGACCAATATCGGATATGGCTATGCGAACGATGTTTGTTCACCAGTCAAAAGATACTATCTTCACCACATTGCTGCTGGTGTGCTTCATAAGTTTGTTATGTTTACTCTCTCTTCAAAATACCGTTCAAAGCAGTAACAAACAGAAGGAAGATCTGTCTGTAGACGCACTATCATGGAAACATTTCAACCATCGCGTGTAAGTCAATCATTCAAAATTGAAAAGGTCTACTTTATTTAGTAAATATATTTATTTTCTGATTAACCCACTAGGGTTGCTAAGGGGGAATACAAAAGCCCATAAAAACAACTCCCTATAGATATTAATACAATCTATATGGTAAGCATTATAATAGTGCACAAAACAAACTACACTGAAACATAAAGACCTAGATGTTGAATTAATTGAAAACGTAAAATATAGATGAATATAAATGAATTGGCAACATAAATCCACTTTATATGTGAATGTCAGCGTACTTATACTTAGGCCTAACTTACAGTAATGATAAGTTAGGCCGATGCAAGATTTACAAAAACTTTAAGTTGTATGGGACACAATTGATTCATCAGTCTCTGAGTTAACTGATTGATTAAAGACAAATGTCTTACGAGGAAGTAGACGCTACAAAGGTTTCTAATTTACATGAAATTAGTTATTCCCAATGGTTATATCAACTGCCTAGTAGCAACTCCTAACAACACGAGGTAGTATTCTAAATGAATAATCGCATCACCCACAGATTTGGGTTCTTTTACATTCAGTAAGGGCAAGAATTTCAAATAATTACGGTATAGTACGTAAATGCACCCTCCAATTCTAAGCCACTCTAATTAGAGACAACTTTTTCAAAGAACCAAATAACAAATTTCATCTATTATAGGCCCTACTTATCTAACCCTCTATGATTCAAAAAACAATATCCGATCGCGCAAAAACATTACGAAAAGCTAACATGCACGTCCCACACAATAGACTTGACATAAGTAAAATATCAATATTTATCGAAGGCTCACATTATTGGAACAAACTACTAACCACCCTTCAACCAAGTAAAATGACATCACTTCCAACAATATAAAAAAATAACAATAGCAATAAAAATAACAATATTAAAAATAACGATATTAAAATGATGATATTTGAAACATATTAGATTGGTATTATTTAATAGTTAATTTTTAAAATATATTACTTAGTTACTGTCTTGCATAATCCAATAGTTTACCTGTTTTCAGGCTATGGTTGGCAGTACCTGATAGCCCCCAGTCCATTCTGAGATATCAAAATGCGGGTGGCAGTACCTTATAGCCCCCAGACGCTGCCTGGGTAATCAACAGTTGAGTATCCGTTTTATGTTTTTATTTTCAAGTATTTTTGTGTTTCCTTTGTAACTGTTAAATTGAACATGGTTTCAGCTGACAAGCAATCGCTTGTATTTGTCAATAAATTATTCAATATTCTAAACAAATGTGAAAACTAAACCCGATACCACCACAAGTTTTCAAGTCCTAATGGTGGTCTCGAATTGAAGGGAAAACTGTATCACATAAACGACACCTATCAAAACCTCGCAGTGCTCCCTGCTACTATTTCATATCTTCATGAAATGCGTCACAACTTATTTTTTTTTAGAAGAAAGAATGTTTGACATAAGTGGTTTGATTTTATTATGGTCTTTAAACCTTCCAAAGATGTTGAACACCATATTAGATTTTAGCATTTCACAGTTCATATGAATAAACCTTTAAGCTAAACCAAATTCTTCTTAAATAAAGGATTTGGGTTGACAGAAGAGCAGAGAAACGAGGACATTTACACCAGCTCAATATGTAATATTACAGTACTTAAACCGATTTGCATAACAGGTTTGAAACTGGTGTACAAGTGAACAATTAAGAAAATGGTCTCCTAAAGAAAATGTGGTAGCACGTCAAAAAATTATGCTTTTATCAGGAATTTCCACAGGCATCCAGTCTACATTACGCCAAGTTGCTTAACTAGGTCTACATTATTGTTTAAAGCATTCAGTTTAAGAAGCGTCAGTTTCTAAATCATGCCTTAACTTAATATAATTAAGTTGATGTTAGAACATGCATACATTTGTACAATTAATAATAGAACATTCGCATAATGGTCAAAGACGGAGAGAATCGTTCGAACCATTGACCTTATGAATCCGTAATAAGTCTATAAACCGTTTTAAAATTTGGTGTCATCAGTGATTGTTTTTTTTTTTGTATCTTTTTTTTATTAATATTTCAGAAAGGAACGACATTTTGCGGAAACATTTTTTGCACCGTCGGAAGAAAAAACAGAAATTCGTCACACAGTGCATCCTACTGTAAAACGTGACAATTGTACTATGGTAGATCATATTGTATTTGTAAAAACTCACAAGACAGCGAGTACAACCTTAGCTTCCATTCTACAGCGATTTGGTTTCACGAGAAATTTAACTTTTACTCTTGGTAAACGAGGGCATATCTTATCCAGTGTGAATTTGTTCCAACGTAGCATGATCCCAGCTCTCCCCCAAAAATCAAAACTTTTTGATAAGCCCTTAAACGGTTATCATCTACTTACAAACCATGTGAGGTACAACCGACCAGAAATGGATGCCGTAGTACGTAATGCAAAGTACATCACAATAATACGGGAGCCTGCTGCTCATTTTGAGTCGACTTTTGGATATTTTGAAATGGCAAAGCGCCTCAAATTAACCAATCATAGCAACCCCATAGAAGTCTTTATGAAAAATCCAAGTAAATTCTTGGCAAAAAAGTTTTACATGTGGCAGCGGGCTAAAAACGGTCAGTTATATGACCTAGGCCTAGAACACCAAGTGCACAATGACCTTTATCACGTGCAGTATAAAATCAGGCAGCTGGACTCTGAATTTGATTTAGTTCTCCTCTCTGAATATTTTGACGAGTCTTTGATACTACTTAAGAAGTTAATGTGCTGGAGTTTTGACGACATCCTTTACGTGTCAAACGGCATCCGTAGCTCTAGTCATCGTTACGACCTCAATGACCAGCTCCGAGCACGCATACGCAAGTGGAATAGCGCTGACGTCATGATGTACAACCATTTCAATAAAACATTATGGAGAAAAATTAAAGAGTATGGTGATGGTTTTAAATCAGATCTGGCAGAGTTCCGTTTCAGAGAAAGAGCAGCCATGCAGAAGTGTATCGATGAGCAGCGACTCAATAGAAGTGACAGACGAGAAGAAAAATTTGTTCTCAAGAGAAACGTGACTGGATCTATTTTCTGTGAAAATATATTAAGAGGCGATATACAGTACACTAAATTGATTCGAAATTTTATGCAGTCACAAGGACTGCACCCAACATCACCACCTATTAAAGACAACGTCCCCAGGCAAAAAGCCTCAAGAAGTATATTGAAGAATCCTCCTCAAAATAATGCTAATATATTGCCCAAAAAAGTAAACAAAACTAATGGTCATAATTGATTCTAGGCTTATGTATTAAATTATTTATAGTTATTCCAAAACCACTAGACTTTCAAGCCATCAACTACCTCTAGGCTTCAGAGATACATGACAATATTTGTCCAATGGTATCTTACATTATCGTCGGTCCTTTGTAAAAAAGCGTAATAACTTGATCAATTACACGATTGAACGAAAGTAGAAACAAGTGTGTATCCACATGGCTCACAAACTGATGCTTAAATAATATGTGGTAAAATTTATTATCTTAAATATATTGCAAGAAAATGGTTGTGTTTTATGTATTACGTGATGCAGCGCATATAGGCCTACTTGTTTACATATTAACGCGATAGCTAACGACTAGAAGGGTGTGCGCTTGTCCGATAAAAAGATAAGATAAATATACTGTTTTGAAAAGCGACTTTTGACTAATTTTAATCTCGCATTTAATACTTTTCAATTTTTTGAACAAATGTTAAATGGTTGAACAATTTTAAGAATACTTAACCGGTATTTTAATAGAAAATACGGTAGTGTTTTGAATACGGCAGGGTGTTTTCCAATATTATAATCACAAATTGCAGTAGATCTATTAATAAATTATATTAAATTATAACAATCAAATTGCGCATTCAAATAAATACTCCAAGCTTGTCGACAGCCGTTGTTGTACACGATATATTGACTGACTGCAAGTTATTGTGTCGTCATATACGGTGTCAAATTACCATTTATTTGGTAATGAGGTAATGGTGTGCTGAATGCTGCTATTGTTGAAAATGAATACTTTTGTAAAATTAACGATAGTGTTACTTATATTTATATAGTATGATAATAAATTTAGTTTAAAAAGACTGTAAAATCTTTTTTTTTCGCGGTAACAAAACATACGCTAAAATTAAGGGAGCGCGAAAATCGTAAATACAGTACCGGTAATTTTGTTCTTTATCATTTTAAAATATAGTAAAACAATTGGATTTTAAAAATAAATAATTATATTTAAGGGCAATAATTATGCATTTTATTAGACTTTATGACTAACTCAGTCGAATTATGCAGACAATGATACACCGAAAAACAGCAAGAACACAATGGCATGGAAAATGCTATCAATAAAATTAAACTTTGACCTATAGGCTTGAGTGGTCATATTTGGGATAGGTCTATTTGCCAATTAAAAAAACAAAACAAAACTAAACAGTCAAAACTAGAACAATCACTCCATAGCATACATACTTCTGCCCTGTGCCTACATACAGTACTGTACCAGCAATGCACAGGCCGTGCATGATAGGCAAAACTGCAGCATACCTTCAACGAAATAATGGAATCGCCCGTCGTATTCAGGTACATTATTTTCTTGAGTGCTGCAGCATATCCTCAAGAAAATACTGGAATCGCCCGTCGTATTCAGACACATTGTGCTGCCTGAATACGAAGGGCGATTCCATCATTTTCTTTGATGCTCTAGCTAAGGTAAAACTCGAATTTCCGTGACCTTGAATTTTTCCTTTGACCCTTCCTTCCGAAAAGATGCGACAGCCATAACTTCATTGGCGAAGGTACAGTAATAATAATGACAATTTTGTAAATACTTGTAAATATATTTATCTTTTCTCTGTTATATTTGCTTTTTGTGATTTGTTGATTTCCTTCTGTCTCTTT